GGCCCTCTGCTTGCCTGGCCTTCAATGTGTCATGGGGGAGGAGAAGCTGTGTGGCTCACCTTCTTGCTCACCTTCTCATCCTTCTTGCTCACCTTCTCGCATAGCCGGGATGCTTGGTGTGCCGTGCCACCACCACCGGTACCCGCTTGTGCCCCGTGCCTGGGGGATGCTTCCAGCCTGGCCCTCTGCTTGCCTGGCCTTCAATGTGTCATGGGGGAGGAGAAGCTGTGTGGCTCACCTTCTTGCTCACCTTCTCATCCTTCTTGCTCACCTTCTCGTCCCCACCACCATGAACATCTTAAAAACGCCTCCACCTCGCCTGGGCTCCTCCAGCAGCCTGCCTGCTCCTGCCCCGCTGGTGAGGACCTGGTGTGGGGCTCCAGCTTGAGTGAGATGAGTTGAGCCGCCTCTCCCAGAGAGAGAAAAGGGACCTTGGGGGCTTCTTTCTGTCCCGTTTGCCACATCATGGGGCCCTGCTCAAGCAGGAGCCACCCTGCTCCTTGGAGGATGGGGGGGAAGCATGGGGGAGGGAGGGTGACCTGCTGTGAACAGCACTTCTGCCCCACACCCCCGCGCTGGGGTGGGAAAACCAGCAGTATTGGGAAACCTCTCATCTTACTGCTGGCTGCGCTCGTCTGGCGCGGGCAAGGAGACAGGAGGAGGGAGGGAGGGAGGGCAGAGGGGCCATGGCTGTGGGGACGGGCAGAGCCGGGATGCTTGGTGTGCCGTGCCACCACCACTGGTACCCGCTTGCACCCCATGCCTGGGGGATGCTTCCAGCCTGGCCCTCCACATGCTGGGCCTTCAATGTGTCACGGGGGAGGAGAAGCCATGTGGCTCGCCTTCTTGCTCACCTTCTCATCCTTCTTGGCCACCTTCTTGTCCCCACCACCATGAACATCTTAAAAACGCCTCCACCTCGCCTGGGCTCCTCCAGCAGCCTGCCTGCTCCTGCCCCGCTGGTGAGGACCTGGTGCGGGGCTCCAGCTTGAGTGAGATGAGATGAGAGGCTAGGAAAAGCATGGGGAGAGGTGGTGGTGGTCAGCCAGGGCAGGAGGGGGATTCCTTTCCCCGGAGCAGGTGCTGGGAGACCTCATTGCCCTCCACAACTACCTGGAAGGAGGGTGTAGAGAGGTGGGGGTTGGCCACTTCGCCCAAGGGAATAATGACAGGAGCAGAGGAAATGGTCTGGAGTTGCGGCAGGGGAGGTTTAGATGAGATATTAGGAAGAATTATTTCACTTGAGAAGGTGGTCAGGCACTGGAACGGCCTGCCCAGGGAGGTGGTGGAGTCACCATCCCTGGAGGGATTGAAGAAACGTGTAGATGTGGCCCTTCAGGGCATGCTCTAGTGCCTGAGATTGTTGGTTTGTGTCTGTTTGTTGGGTTTTTTTTAGGGTTTGGTGAAACGTGTAGACATGGCACTTCAGGGCATGCTCTAGTGCCCGAGATTGTTGGTTTGTGTCTGTTTGTGGGGTTTTTTTTAGGGTTTGGTGGGGATTTTTTTTGGTGGTTGGACTCGATGATCTCAAAGGTCCCTTCCAACCGTGAAAATCCTGTGAAATTCTGTTGGTGGGAGGCTGCCGGGGGTCTGGCTGCTGCCTCCAGCCCCTGGGTGGGAACACTCCTTCGGTGATGGGTACCCTGGGACACGGAGACGGGGATTGGGGGGGGACACCGGAGTGGGCTGGGGGTTTTTTGGGGAGAAAGATGCTGTTGAGGAGCCACTGCCTGTTGTAAGAGGGCTCCGTGAGGGCAAGTGGGGGCTGCCTGAGTGGGGAGGTAAATTTGGGTGCTGCCAGGGTGTTGCTGCCCCCCGGGGCTGGGGCAGGCTGGGGCTTGCTGGCTGCCTCTTCTCGCCCTTGGGTGACGGGGTGTGGGGGGGCAATTTAACTTTTCATCTAAATTGCTATGCAGGCACTCTGCATCCTCCTCCCGCCGCACCCTGCCTTCTGGGGGCATCCTCCAGAAGGTGTCACCCCCCCACACACTTCTCTCCCTCCCCCCAACAAAGGCCAAGGAGGGCAGGGGGCTCCTCCTTCCCCTCTGGCCATGGGGCAGGAGGCTACTGCTTTTTCCCCAGCCCTGGGGCCAGGCGTGGAAGAGGGGGGGGGTGGGAAAAAGCAGGTAGAGCCCGTCTCTGCATAGTTAGCATTCCCAACTTCCCCGCTCCTCCTGCTGCCCATCCTGCTCCCTGGTGGGGCTGGAGCAAAGCTTGGGCAACCCAGGGGGGGACAACTCTTTTCCTTTTCAAACCCACAGCGGCGTTTGCATCCTGTCCAGGTGAGGCTGGCACTCGGAAGGGCAGCAGGTATCTCTTCTTTCTGGGTAGCCAAGGGCTGCATCCCGTCCTTGCCATGTTTGCATCCCGGGCAGCCCCCTCTTTGCCAGCCAAGGGGAGATGGAGTGGGCTCTGCCACCTTCCAAAGCCCCCTCCACCTCCATCTCCATGTGGACAAAGCCTCCTGCACCTGCCCCGGGGAAAAGTGCTGGGTAGGGGGGTAAATAATCCTGGTGCTTCCTTGATCTCACCCCAAGGAGGGATATTGGAGGCCTGGGAGCCGGAAGGGGGGCTTGGATGGAGGGGTGGATTCCTCCCGACTTTACTTTGGGCAACTCCCTGGCGCTGGGGGCTCTTGGAGTAGAAAGCGAATTTAATCTCTTGTTTTGTTTGTTCTTTCTTCCTCCCAAAGGGGGGCCAGCGTGGGGCGTGCAAGGGGGGGGAGAGAGCTTGGGTTTGAGAG